TCATATCTGCCATCAAATCATACCAGTACAAGCTCTAGCCAATCAAATCATATCCAGTACAAGCTCTAGCCAATCAAATCATATGCCAGTACAAGCGCTGGCCAATCAAATCATATGCCAGTACAAGCTCTAGCCAATCAAATCATATGCCAGTACAAGCTCTAGCCAATCAAATCATATGCCAGTACAAGCGCTGGCCAATCAAATCATATGCCAGTACAAGCCCTAGCCAATCAAACCTCATGCTTGTGTGTCCGGGGTGGGAGATGAATGTGATTGGTTGTTGGTCGCCCACCGGCAAGCTTCAACGTGACGGAACCGTGTGTACGAGGCGTTAGTTGCACAATAGTTGAACCTTTTGAAAATCTTAAGACTGCAGGCTGTTTCCATGTTGAATTACCTGGATCCTCTGGAGAGGGGCATGAGATTACAGAAGTAATAAACCAGGGAGAGGATCAGGTTACACACGGCATCTGCATCCTGGAGGACAGACAGACAACCGTTTAGTCACAAACTGACGGAGCAAGAATTCACAGACACATCCTTCAATTTAAAACTGCCTTCACTATGAACAGCCTATATTTTCGGTTAAACAACAAAGGGTGAAAGAGACAAAAGACTAAACAAAAAGAGGACATTCATATTGTTCCAGGTATCTGTTTCAGCTGTTACAATAATAACGACATTGTCCACACAGCTGTCAGTCTGGATCAAGTAACTAAAAGCTGAACAATGAGGAATTGAGCCTAAGTTGAACTGACTGACTTTTAATCAAGTCAAAATGTGTCTTTAATAAATGTCCGATTTTTTCTCAAGTCTGAAAATCCTCCACAACAACCAGCTGCTGAACACATTCAACGACAATCCTGTATTTGATCTGTGATATTCTCTAGACGATGAATTAAATTCCCTCACTAGCTTTGCCGTGTGGAGATCTGATCTGTATTCTGATTTTTGTAATGTATGGAAGACCAAAGTTAGGAAGGTTGACAGCAGAGATGAATCTTACCCCGAGTTCTGTGGACAGCATTAAGGCCTTCCCTTTAGCGGTGAGGTCTTTGTAGATGGACTCGATCTCTGACTGGTACTGCTGCGTCCGCTCCTCTGTCGTCTGCGTCTCTACTGAGAACAACATGTTGCCCACCCTAAAACACAGAGAACAGTTCAAACATCTGAACAAGCAATCAGTTCATCTCCTTCTGGCTTCATCGTTCCAACAAAGTGGAAACTGTCATTGTCATAGGTCGACACTTAAAATATACTTTTGAAAAAAAGACAGTCTTTCCCTCGTACCGGTCTCCAGTGATGGTGATGGTAAAACCGTCGTACTCTTTCCCAAGATCCTTCATGCTCGGCACCTTGGAGTTGACCGTGAAGCCATCTCTGGTTTTACTATTGAACTGCTTCAGGAAATAAAACAGACACACAAACAACCATCCGGGTTTTCACTGCTGAACGAATACAAGACATGTATTTTGTACAAGACAACGAAATAAAAACTCGATGTTGTGAGTTAATTTCTTGAGCCACTGAGACGGCAGTTGGTAAAACAATCTTCACTCATGGTTCCCTTTGTGTTTCTAACTGAGCAATATGCTTATTAGGACCTTATGTTATATAATATTCAAGAACTGCAGTAAAAATAACAAAGAGCCTCGTCTTCCCTTCCTGCAGCGGTCAGACTATACAACCAGCACAGCCCCTAGTTGACCCCCCCCCACACACACACACACCACACCACAACAAAGACTATATCCCCCCTTGCTGCTAAATACCAACTAACTATGTGCAATATGTGCAATATATAAATGCCGTTAATAACTGTGTAATATATACCTGGCTGCTAAATCCTTAGAACTGTTACAAGGTGTGTATCTTGTCAATTGTGTAACTTGCTGCTTTTATACGCGAGTAGTGAAAACACTTCCGCGTAGTCTGCTCTCGTGTATCCTCCCTTTCGT